GCGGGGGGGGGGGCGGGGGGGGGGGGGGGGGGGGGGGGCATTAGAGCGCGCACACACAATTTTGGTTTAAATTAGTAGAGAAAGGGTGGTTGTTTTTTCTCCCTTAACGTTTGCAAACCTCCTTTAAGACCTAACAGATTAAAGAAATGCAGTAATACGGACATTTAGGACCCAAAATCATTAACAAGAACGTGAAGGTGCACAAATTCCTTTCTGGTTCCAGGTGATCTGCAGTTCAGAAGAGGGGAGCCTGACCTGGCCTGAGGGTTTTATTCCAAGTGACTGTTAAAAGCTGTTTTTAACCAAGAGATTTAAGGCTCATCAGTAAGCCTCTGTTCTACAGAGAGCACATGGCATTCAAAGCTCTCAACTGGTGACAACTCTGTAGTTAACAGCAGAGGTTCCTCCTCATGAAAGAGATGCAAATGACTCCTATAATTAATATATTAGCAATTCCATTAAGTCATCTATACCTAGCAATAAAACTTGCAAGAAACATAAATAATTACAACACAACTTTTTCCTATGGAGCCAGGTGTTTGGAGTCAGTGGATTCTTGACATTGCAACACACTTGTTCACAGCCAGGGTAAAGGTTCGTGAGCAATGAAGTGTTCAGCATCCCGTCTGTGAAGCACCAGGCGCTTGGCAAACATACTCCACAGAAGCCCTGCCAAGACGAAACGCCACGCGAGCATTACCAGCACAATACCAGAAGGGAATCTGAGATCACTGTTTCAAACTTTTTATTTTTTTAACCTTAGAAGTCAAGGCCAGAAAAACACATATACTACAGCGTAGATTATCTCAGCCCACAGGTAAATATAAAGCAAGCTGTATATTGAAAATTATAATTTACAAGCAGTGATGTAGTAAGAGCTACTGCACTTTTGGAAAGGCTCATGAACATTTTGCTTCTTATTATATCCGCAAGACACTCCTTGCTCCAAGAAAAAGGAGGCATTAACAGCATGACAGACTTACAAAAGCTTCACTGCAAGTCACTAGGTGTGAATTTTTCATCTAGTCTTTTTTGCTTTGATTTCAAGGATCCTTTACAGGATAAAAAGGCAGATTCTACAAGCACACCACCACCTGTTGAAAGAGCATCTTCAAATGGCATTTCAGCGCACATCTTTTAATAAAAACATACCAGAAGAATACATGTAAGACACCATGTCAGTAGAACAGTACATCCTTTTCTATAAGGCTGCTTATATCTAATTATGGTAATCCAGGCCACCTCCTCCCCCAGTGCCTTTCTGTTTGTATTTGGTTTTGTATTTGTATTTGGAGAGGAGAGAGAATGCAGAACAGAATCTTTCCCCATCCATTGTCACCACCTTCCTGAGCTGGATTTCAGCTAGGGGCAATGGGAGATTTAGAAGCACTTCTCCATCTTCAGAATTTAAGAGCCTAATTTATCATTGCAATTCCTGCTGGAACTGTTGTCTGCAACATGAGACAAGATACAGTGGATTTAACACACTTCCAGGTTATGTATAAGGGATGCAATTTCAGCATAAACTGCCAAACCCACCCAAAATAGGTTTACTTTAGCTTAGTCTCGAGTTCAAAAGAAGCAAGGCCATGGCACCAGAAGCTTCAGTTCAGTCCCTACACTCCCACTCACAGTCCCAGGTACTTAACCACGCAGCTGGTCTCACTGCATCTGCCACTGGTACCCTCATCTGCTCCTTAAAACTAGCAGTGATAAGCCTGAATAGAGAGACATGTCAGTATAAAAATTCCTCAGAGACAGGCTTAGCAACTCAATAACTGCTAATCACATGAACAGCTTTCTGAGGGGTGAAACAAAGATGGAAAGTGGTTTCTCCCTATACCAAGTTGGAAAGATTAAAATTAATCATCACTGCCTCCCTGGCCTTCCCTCTGAGCCCTCTCAAAGCTCTAACACAAAGTTAACAGTGGAAATGTTTGTTTTAATGCAAATGCAAACGTGGTTATTGTAGCCCAAATGCAGACAGCCACGCTGCTCCCAAGACACACACATGAGATCCTGTGTTCTCAGAAGTGCCATCCCCTACAAGCGGTCGGGGTATGACCCTGTGGCACTGCAACACGACATTATTTCTCCCTGAGCCGTGGGAGAGTTCAGCTTCAGCTCATATAGGAAATGGGGAAGGTACAGATAAGGGCAACTGTTGCCCTCAAAGTACAGCAGGTGAAACATCAACCCAACAGAAAGCGGAACGGGCTCTAATCTACAATCTCAGCCACATCAGCTTCTCTTGGCTGAAGGCACTAGTAAATTTAGGCAGGAGCAGCGTGGGAGTACGCATGCATGCACGTGCACACAAGCATAGCAATGTCCTGGCAGCAGCGCACACCGTGTGCCACAGAAGCATTTTTGCAGGGTTACAGAATTACCCAGGTGAGCTCTTTAATCCTGTTTTTCCATTTTTATTCAGCAAAACAGTCATGCATTTAGAGACTACATAAAATTTGATTCATTATCTTAAGATGTTTCACTAAAAAGAACAATCCAGAAGAGATTAAATTTCAGCTAAATGTAGCTTCTTGCAGCTGGTGAGCTTTTTTTATAGCACTGTATGTATTGTATCCATTCCTGGCAGCAATCACAAAACAGGAAACAGAGAAGTTGAAAGTCTCAGAATTGTGCATTCTCAATTAGATGAGACTGCTTCCTTCGAGAGGGTAATGTGAAACAGAAGTAACAAAGCAAAACAAGAACAATCTCCTTTGTGCTGCACACAGATTACATCATTATTCATATGAATTCCTTGCACATTATTCCTTTTGTCTCCTGCACTGACCAAGCCTTTTCCCTTTCCAAAAAAGCCTCCGGACAGTTTCGTAAAGGGTTAAAGCTTAAAAAGGGAGGAAATTAAAAAAAAAAAAAAAAATCCTTGTTAAAGAATCCAGCAGTGCAAATGAAACCGAAAGACTCTGTACATACACGATGGCCACAACAGCTAAAAAATAAACCCGTCAGCCTGGATGAAAAGCTGAAACTCATAGTTAAAAGCAGTTTAAGAAACGTGTTTAATGTTTCCACTCGGCTCAAAAAAAAAAAAAATCTGTTGCAAAATGCACATTGAAATCAAGAGTGAGCTTTAGTGATTTAAGGATGCTGAAAGCCATAACGCTATAAAAAAAGGCCAGATGTTCCAGGAATACTACTATATTCTGCAATTCCCTTTGAAGTTAAAGAAAAAAAAAGAAAAAAAAAAGGCAAAAAGCCGCACCAAAAATAACCCTGCTCCTTTTCAAGTCACTTGCCTCTCAAAATAGCCTGCACTATTAAAAAAAAAAAAAAAAAAAAAAAGTAAAATAAAAGCCCGCGGCCGCCAGATGAGAGGAAGCGAGGGAAGGCAGCGGCGGCCACCCGCCGCAGGGCCACGCTCCCAGTACAGCCCAGCAGAGCCCAGCAGAGCCCGGGGCAGGCGTGGGAGCGGCGGGGCGGCGCGCGCAGCCATCAGGCGCAGGCACAGCTCCGCCGCCGCCGCCGGCCGCCTGTTACCAGGCGAGCGCAGCCAATCGCCGTCGCCGGCGAGCACAAGATGGCCTTTGAACTCCCCACCAGCAACTTCCTGCTGTTTTTAGAGTACACACAGTGCAATGCAGTATGTCTGTCAGCTATGCGGCACAAAGGAACAGCCATTTTGTGACTCAACTGGACCCGCACCAAAATGCCAGGCAGGGCAGCCTTCCCCTCTCCTTTCGCGGGGAACGGGGGCTTCCCGAGCACCACCGAAACGGGAAAGGGATGCCCTCGGCTGTCATCGGCAGCCAGGGAGGGCGGTTTTCGTTTAACCTCTTCGTTTCCCTCCTCCCCCCGCCCCCCAAATCCTCCTCTTTCGTGTGTAACTACATCTTCATAAAATGGCTGCCACGTAAAACGAGGGTGTTCTGCTCTGCGAAGGCTGCAGCACGGACTGCAGAGCACTCTGCCTCTGTAAGGTGGCCGCTGAGCAAAAAAACCACCATTTCAGACCTCAGACTTCCACCTCTCTGAACAGAAAACAGGCTGAGATCTAACCCACCCCAACCTTTTTTTCCCCCCAAAAATGATGTTTTAGTGCTAGAGAAGGCAAGAGCTGGACACAGACGCAAGGGTTTGTTCAGCCCTGCAGCTTCTGTAGCAGAAACCATTCTCACACCAGGGCATTTAGGAGGTGCAACAGGGAACTGCAACAGACACGGGCCAGGAGAAACTAGAAGAACAACGTATCCACCGCATGTTACTTGCTATCCCCTACAAAACTCAGTCCCGAGCTTCGGGGGGACCCCAGCCTGCCTCTCACCTCTGAAGTTCACATGAGGGTTGCACCATGGATGTACCCTCTCACACCACCTGCCTTTCAGAAATGCAGCACAGAAGATGCTAGAAAACACACCAGGATTTCGCTCAATTATTTAATGCAAGTCCCAGGTACACAGGTAGTGGTTATTAGTAACTGCAGCGTACCAACTTTTATCCAAGGTAGAGAAAGTTGCATGAAATCAATCAGCTTCAAGTTTGGAAAGATTTACTGTCAATATACAAAGGACAGGTGTTGCTGTTCATCTAGAAAGGCACCAAGTACACCCTGCAGCTTTACAAACCATAAAGTGTTAACGCCATTTTCCTCCCCAAGAATAATCATCTGGTTTGGGACAATTCTCAGGTGTTTTTGTTTATTCAGCATATATACCTTTGCGCTTTCTTAGGACAGGAAAGGTAGGAATCAATTCCAAACACATTCCCCAGTTAGGACACTAAGGTGGTGTATAGGAATTACATTTTCTTCTGC